GAATTCAAGGAAATAGCTGTCAAAAGAACTGCTTCAAATCTCCTTCAACTTCAATTACTTTTAAAAAGTCTTTACAGTTTTATATAATCCTAAAATATTTTATATCCAGCTTGTATTTTGACATTTTTAAACTAAACATAAGTCATTCAGGGTGGTATACATGATTTAAATGGCCCTTGGATTAGGATCATCTTACACTTGATGTTTAAAAAAAACTAAGCAATTCAGATCTGCTTGAAGTGGGATTCTGTGGAAAGGTGAACAAACAATATCTCACCTGTTGTAGGTTATTTGAACCTCAATTTTAAAGAAACAGGTTATTTCTGACTGGACTGAGAAGCAAAGTTGCTCCACCATCAAGTACCAGAAAATATACCATACATAGAATTAAATCTGGTTTATGTTAAGCCTGAGAGAAAAGGATTATTTTAACTGTMTAAATTAATAAAGCAAGTTGACGAAACTAAACAAACTGCTAATAAACTGAGTGCAATTTGTAATAAGGAAGCCTGAACCTGCTGTTAAGTGCTGGTGTCTGTCAAAGATCCAAATACACTCTCATACTTTACATTTAAAAATAAYCTGGAGTTTAGTTTTTCTTTTGACAGTTTCATTTTTGTCCAAATGTGAAATCTGGATGTTATTTTTTTATTCTAGTCACTCTGCAGCCTGAAGTTTTTTTCTCAAATTTTATTTTCTCTCAAGGTGTTGCTGGAAATTGTGGTGGCTTTCATGACCGGTGAGAGTAACCGCCAAAGCCCAGTCTGAATGAACCCATGGCCTTTAAAAGCATGGAAGGGAGTCGATAACACCCCTGAGGTGTTCAGTGGTTGAACCCAACTGTTCACATGACATTTCAACTCCCAAAGCACTTTTTTTTCTTCTTCTATTTCGCATCTGTTGCTGGGTGCACTCTGTGGTCACACTTCCTATTACAAAAAGTCGATACGCTTTTATAGGAAGCCGCTGTCTGCAGCAGACCTCTTGCACTGGCTGGAGGTTCAGGACCATGGATARCGACGGCGATTCAGCCCTGTAATCACACACGAAGCAGCAGGACACAAACCCTTTTCTTTTTACTCCATGCTGACTGTCTCCTGTCGTTTTGAACTTAGCTCAGTTGAATTATTCTACATTAAATCAATTCAATCAAAAGAAATTATAGTCGCAGGTACAAAWYAGACACAACATCYCTGCTTTCATCCTACAGATTTGTTYYCTTTACAGCAGAAAGGGCAAAGGGAGTCTTTTATTACAACAGAAATGGGAGCTGTATTGACTGAGGTGAATATTTGTTTTCAAACCAGTGTTTGAGCTCTAGACAGACGAAAATGGAGACTTATATTTATTTTATTCATTTATTTAACCAGCATAGTCCCATTTACATACATCATCCCTTCTTCCTGTACTGGTTAAAATGGCAGAGATACAAACAGAGAAATATTAAACAAAAATGTAAAAGTTTCAAATAATTTGCCCATGAAATACAGCAAGACATGAATACACTGTATAATGAACTGACATTTACAAACAGGATCAGAAACATTTCTGTTTATGTTGCCCATATAAGTATGTTTTTTTTATTATATTTTTTAATTCATGCCATATTAACACATTTCAGTGTCAGTATAAGTTAAAATATTTGAAAGTTTATTTACATGACTGAAAATATTCC